AGCAAATAAGCAAAGGCTGTACTCCAAGGCTCTTCCGGATGTCACTATTCCGGACCATGTCGAGACGCGTAAGGCCAGCGAGTCGTCTACGAAAGCCCATTTCGGCAGCTTGTGCCCGGATTCGAAGTTTTTCACTGATGGTCCACGACACATCAAGAACTTATGTAATCACTTATGTAATCAAAAACATAAACATATGTCAAACAAAAATGCATAGTTACAAACTGACAACTGTGACAAAAACTTCACATCGTGATCACAGACAATTTTCGACTGATGTATAACGTGAGAAACGAAATCAAGCAACTGATACAAAAATTACTTGCCAACTTCATAAACTGAAACTCCCGATTAAATAAATGACTCAGCGAGCTCGTAAAGACACCACGATGCAATCGTAATCAGAAATTCACAAGTCTGACAATGGCATTAAAGAGAGCGTTTCTTTGATATAACATGATGGGTTACATCAGATAATTGATGCAAATGACCATCGTCCAGTTATACAGATTTTTAAAGCGGCGACAGCAACCACCAGTTTGTGCTCAAACAGCGTGCGCCAGAACATCCCATCCCGTAGCGATCAAGATGACGACAATGACATTTAAGATAAATATGACAATTATAATGAAGATTAAGCTGATGACGAAGATGAAGATATTGAGTCTATTACTGCGTAGCAGTGGAGATGATCAGCATGCACGAACAGGAAAAGAATAAATGGATTGAAGAGCAAAAGCTTTATTGGCGCGCTTCGTAAAGCAACTGAACTGGCAATTGGCTGGATACAATGTAAGAAGGCGTGACGACCGTTAGAAAAGGAACGTGTCCGGCTGGTTGCAGGAGGGACAAGAAACGATCAGACAAAAAGCGCATAAGAAATTCGCTTTTACGTCTGGCAGCGAGCACTCTGAACATGAAAAGTCATAAATTTTGAAAACAGCTATCTTTTTCGATTCGACGGCTAGCAGCAAAAAAACGCAACAAAAAGGATACGGAATAAGTTAAGTCAAAAAATGCATATCTGCGATCATTCAGTCGAAACGTGGGTTAAAGCGAAGATGTTCTTTCTGTCATTTTTCTGTTCGTGCTGTTAAGCCATGAAACTCAAATAAATAACCACATTCAATTATTTAAGATACGGTAGCGATCGACAAATCCTAGACTGTCGTCATCTCTTGGAGAAACAGCTTCAAGTTACTACTTCACAGAATGCACTGCAAAATTATACACCATACAAAGGAATAGCGAACAATCGCAAGGAACGGAAGATATCGTAAAGCTGTTACGATGTCCAATGAGTAAAGTAGGTTAAAGTATGACAGAAGAGTGTAGGTTCTGCATAACCAAATAAATAAACAATTAAAAAATATTCGGTGACTGGTGCCATGTAGCTATGGTGCCTAAATGACAATACGCATCCTTGTATGAAGTTCTAAGGTAGTAAGTGACGATCGTTTTGGAAGTCGTCCCAGCGATGATCTTCGCATTCCGAAGATGGGGTTAGCAAACGAAAAAGGTGCCATGAAGAGTAGACAACGCAAACGAAAGCGCCAGAGAAACGATGAAAAGAAGGAAAGCATTCAAAGAAAGGGAAGCGCAATAGTCACTCAATGCTTCGTCCAGTTTCCAAAAGCGGACTTCTGCGTTTCTGCTACAAACAACACGTACGAGTAATGCGCGACCTGGCCACGCATCACAAGAGGTCAAATTCGAACTCGCGAGGGAGGAAAACAATTTTAAAACCGATATTTCCCGTAAGTCAGAAATTCAACCCATGTTGTTTCGGTGCAACCAACAGAAAAACGTGTAGTACGTCGTTGACCTGCGAACAACAGAAAGAACGTAGTGTTCTGGTGTAGTCATAGCAGAATGGGCGACACGTACGCAGCTTCATCTCAGGCTAAGATTCCCGTCGACCCATCTGACAGCCGATCCAGCACGATAATCAGCACATGGCGTAAACCCTTGAAAAACAAGCAGCCTTGGGGGGGGGGGAGCATAATGTAACTCTTACCGAGCGTTCGGTGGTTCGAACGGCTGACTGCATGGCGAACTTCTTCAACTCGGAGATGTCGTCCTTCAACCTGTTCATCATGCGTTGATGCATTTCGAACAGGACGTCGATGCGCCTTTCGGTGCTGGCCAGCGCAAAGTTGGTACGGTTCAGGCTGCGCTGGATGTCTTCGATCTGGCGTTTATAGTTGCGGCTCAACTCGCGCAGGTACTGACTGCTGAGGCTGATGTTGATCTCCAGGGAGCGGATGCGATTGTTCAGCCGGAAGAACACCGACTCTTTGGCACTGGTCGCTATGCCCGGCAGCGAGCCGAACTCCAGCGTCCCATTTGACGTGTTGCTAATCGTCACTGTCGCCGCAACCCCTATCCCAGGGACGGCGCCGGCCGCGGTTCCTGTTACCGTGGCTGCAGTCGGCGTAGCCATGATCGTCGTCGATCCCTGGGCAGCAATCACCGTATTCACTGT